TTCATTAAAAATCCTTTAAAATGAGTACAAACACGACATATTTATCTTCAATATTAATGAAGTTATGGTCAACTTCCGGTTAAGAATGTCAACGTCAATTTTGACATATTTGTAATCGTCGTGAAAAATCCTTTAAAATGAGTCCAAACATGATACGTTTAATTCAAATATTACCCGAGATATAAGAACTTCCGGTTTGAAATGTCAATGTCATTTTGACATATTTTTAATTTTATAAAATGTCTTAATATTTGTCACAAAAACAAAAATATAATAAAAAAAAAATAAAAAATTAAGGTTGGTATTAATATTTAAAAATTAAATTGCCATCTTCATTGTTGCCAACTTCGGGTTTAATGTTATTTTTCTAACTTTTTTGTTTTTTGAGATAAGTACGTCATGTTTGGATTCATTTTAAAGGTCTTTTAATGAAGATGACAAATATGTCAAAATTGACGTTGACGTTTCAAACCGGAAGTGATTGTATTTCCATTAATATTAAAGTTAAATATGTCGAGTTTGGACTCATTTTAAAGGATTTTTTATGAAGTTGACAAATATGTCAAAATTAAAAGTTGAAAGTTCGAACTTTTTGGTTTTTTGAGATAAATACGTCAAGTTTGAACTCACTTTAAAGGTTATTTTATGAAGATTACGAATATAATAATAAAATTAAAGTTGACATTGACAACTGAAAGTTTTTTTTACGATTAAACCCGAATGTTTCTAGTTTTAGTTCAATAAAAATTTACAACATAGTAATATCTTATGCTAACTACCCTATCTACCACTGCCACTAGAACTAATACTCGAACTAAGTCTCTCAAGACGGCTAAACCCGAATGATTCTAGTTCTAGGTCTTGTGTTAGTTCTAGTGATAATGTAAAACTAGAATTAACACTAGACCTAGAACTAGAAATATTCGGGTTTAGCCGTGCGTCTGAAGACTGTTTGAAGTTTACAGATTAAAATTTAAGAGCGCTCTTTTTTAACACATGAAATATTAAGAACCTTGGGAAAAATTTACGACGATTTTTTTTGATCAATGAGAAATAATCCAAAAAACACGTTAAAAATGAAAAGAAAGAGCGGAAAAGTGATTAACACTAGATTAACATCAGTTATAAAACTTCTATTATATGATAACTAACTTCAGGTTTAAAACGTCAACCTCAATTTTGATATATTTGTAATCTTCATTAAAAATCCTTTAAAATGAGTACAAACACGACATATTTATCTTCAATATTAATGAAGTTATGGTCAACTTCCGGTTAAGAATGTCAACGTCAATTTTGACATATTTGTAATCGTCGTGAAAAATCCTTTAAAATGAGTCCAAACATGATACGTTTAATTCCAATATTACTCGAGATATAAGCAACTTCCGGTTTGAAATGTCAATGTCATTTTGACATATTCTTAATTTTTATAAGATGTCTTAATATTTGTCACAAAAACAAAAATATAATAAAAAAAAAATAAAAAATTAAGGTTGGTATTAATATTTAAAAATTAAATTGCCATCTTCATTGTTGCCAACTTCGGGTTTAATGTTTTTTATTCTAACTTTTTTGTTTTTTGAGATAAGTGCGTCATCTTTGGACTCATTTCAAAGGTTTTTTAATGAAGATGACAAATATGTCAAAATTGACGTTGACGTTTCAAACCGGAAGTGATTGTATTTCTATTAATATTAAAGTTAAATATGTCGAGTTTGGACTCATTTTAAAGGTTATTTTATGAAGATTACGAATATAATAATAAAAATATACAACATCTTATGCTAAGTGCAGTAGAACTCTCTAAAAATGATAAAATGTCGCTTACTCAAGTGATGTATAACGCGGTCTAGTTCTTTTCAATAACATCGCTCGATTATTAATTAATAATTGTTTTTTAAGGTAACTCACCCAAAAATCTTTTTGCAATCACCAAAATCAAGTGATGAATCAAAAATAAAAGAATTAAACAACGAAGATTTTTATGTGTTGTGGAAAAATGGGGTTGTAGACCGTATTTTGTTAAGAAAACAAGAAGATTTAGGCTTGGTGAATCTAAAAAAAGGAATCGTAAGTTTATTCCAACTCAAATTTGAAGATCAAACTTTAAAGGAACAAGATTCATCTGGAATTTGCGATGTAACCTATCAACATTTAGATGATTTCGTTGAAAAAACGAAAAAGAATTGCGAAAATTTCGATTTATCTTACGTCTTTAACACGGAACCAATTTTAAGTACAAAAACGATTTCTTCAATTTCAACGATTTATAAAATAAACAAAAAGGAAATCGAGAATGCAATCTCGAAAGAACATCACGAAATATTCTTACAAGCCAAAGAAGAAATTGGGGGGGAAATTTTAATCGAACAAAATTTAAAGTTAATTTCGACGAAAAAGAGTGAAAATGTAATGAATCAAAGAACTTATGATCAAGTAAAACAAAAATTAATCGACGATTTCGGCGATTTTAAAGAGGAAAATTTGCTAACACAAAAAGATTTTTCAAATTCCCAAAAACCAATTTCTTTCGCAAACTTAATAAATGAATTTCGCGACAATTTGAAGTCGAAAAATTTGGGGAAACTAATTTCGGCAAAAACGATAATCCCTTTAATTAACGCTGCCAAAAAAAGTAACAAAGATGAAATTTTAAAGGTTTTAAACGCGAAAAAGAACCAAAAAATTTTACCCCAACTCTACGACATTCTCGCTTACGTCCAAACCGATCAATCTCACGAAGCTGTGATGAAAAAATTACACTTCGACGATTCAAAAAACGAAGATAATAATGAAAGATATCTTTGGGGGTGCCAATTAGTGTCAAATCCGAACCCTAACATAGTTATCGACCTATTAAATAAATTTAAAAAGACTGAAAATGTACCAAAGAAAATTCAAGAAACTTTATTATTAAGTATTTCATCAATGACATCGAAATTATCTAACTTAAACAAATTGGGTTACTCGAAAATCGTTGGAATCGTTAAAGAAACACTCCTAAATAACTTAGATGTAGCTAATCACGATGATAAAATCATGTATTTAAGGGCGTTGAGAAATTTGAAATCATCACAAACGATTTTTAAGTTACTAGAGATAATTAGGAATAAAAAAAGTGGGGTTAAAGAGGAAGTTTTAGCGTGGAAAGCTTTAAAAAGTATGAATAATTTAAAAGATTTTAAAGATGTTTTAATCGTCGCTTACAAAACTTATTTCCAATTGGATAAAAAGCACGATTCAAGTTCGAGAACTTTAGCGGGCGATGTTTTATTACAATCCGATCCAAGTGATGATCTTTTAGAAGATTTTTTACATTATTTATTAAACGAAGATAAAGAATACGAAGTTAAAAAGTACGTTTTGCAACAAATTGAAATGATGGCTGAAGATGATGTTAATTTTAAAGCGAGGGTTTTAAAAATTATTAGAAATAATAAAAAATTAAATAATTATTCAGGGTTATCCCCCAAAGGGTTATCTTTATCATTGAGGAGGAAATTTATGGATTCGAAATCAATTAATGGAAGTTTATTAACAATACAAGAAATGTCGAATGGAATTGTTAAAAGAGGGATTGTTAATGTTGTGATGGATCAAAATAATGATATACAAGAATTAGCTAGTGTAATAATAAATTTTTTTCTTTTTAATATTAATTTGATTCAAATTTTTTTTAGTTAGGTATATTTTCCGGTGGTTTAGGAACTTTCATGTCATCAGATTCATCTGAAGAAGATGAAACGACCACAGCAGGGATGGAACTAGCAATTTTAGGAACTCAAATTCGTCCCTTTATCTTTTTCGAAGGCCAAGGCGAATTAATGGGCCACGTTTGGTCGGGAACTGCATCAGAGCGAACCACCGCATTTCAAGCGTTAATTTTAATACAAGATCACCAAGAATATTTAAGATTAGGACCGGGATTTATCATCGACGTTGATTTTAAAGGGGCGGCGTCGTTCGATTTAGCCGGAAAAATCGAAATGTCTTTGTGGAATAGAAACGCTCAAGCTCTAATCGAAAAATCGTTGGGTTATGAAGGAATTGGATCGATAATTTTAGATAATTCGTTCGCTAATTTAAAGGTTGAGTTTAAAATTACGGTTGAACCGAGTTTGTTTTTAAACGCGGATATTGATTTTTCCTCGAAAGTTGCGTTGTGTATGAGATTGAGTCAACCTGAAACTGAGTTTAGGTAAATAAATACTTTTTTAATGTATTAAATTAATTAATTAATTGTTTTAGGAGTGTCATTAAAAAAGAAATTAATGGGAAAGATGCTTTGAAGATTAGCCAAAGAAAAAGTAAAATTCCTGGAAGAACTTATGCGTTAAATAAGAAAAACGATGAGAAATGTACCGAAATGTTTAACACGTGATTATAATGTTTTTGGAAATATAAATTTTGAATTAAAACACCTTTTCTGTACAATTTTCGTTTTTTTTTAATGGAAACAACCACTTTTTTTAGTGTTGTCAAAAAAATTAAATTTACAGTTTCCTGTAAATTATAACTAAAAATTAAAAAAACATATTTATGATATTTGAAACAAATACATTTGTTGAACTATTTAATTTACATTTGTTTTACACAAAAGTTGGAATAGATTGCATTATTTCAAATTTTTTATTAATATTTAATATTATTATTGAATGAATTAATAAATTTTTGATAGATGGCAAATAAGTGTCAAATTAAAAATCCTGTTTTTTAAGATGGATTTTGAAAATTACGAAAAGTTTAACATGTTAGAATGTTACATATTAGAAAATAAAATAAATTTTTAGTAAAATAATGTTTAGTTATATTAAAGTAATTTACAGGAAACTGTAAATTTAATTTCTTTGGTGACACTAAAAAAAAGTTTATTTTTAGCTTTATTCTAAAACAATACGAAATAGACCTATCTTTTTGTAATCAGAAAAAAATAACGAATTTAATAAGCGAATAATCAGTGGTTGTTTCCATTTAAAAAAACGAAAATTGTCATAATAGCTCAAAATCTAAAACCGAAAATTTTTTTTTGACTACGTCATCAAATTCTCTGTAAAAAAGTGTCCATATAATGTCTTAGTTATAATACTCCAGCTATAATAATAACCAAGATAATTGCACTTGCTGCCCCTCTAGGGGAAAAACAAAAGACGATAGCGCTTTGAGGTTTTCGACATTGGAATTTAATCAAAGAAGAGATCGAAACATGTAAGCTACTTTTTTTCTAACTCTTATAGTTTTCACTGCAACCCGACAACGCTTTTGCTTCAGCCAAAGATCTTCTGTCAAAATCTATCTTTCTAGAACATCCCCTTTCACATGGTACCCTATCATTGTCAACTGGTGCATCTAACACAGGTATGGGAACTGTTTTAACACAAACCATCAATGGAAAATCTCAACCATTAGCATTCTTTTCCTTCATGCCAAACGAAATATTCAACTTTTGATAGAGCACTATTAGTAATCTATTCTGCCATCAACATTTTCAAACATTCCTTACATGGAAATCAATTTACAGTATATACAGAACATAAACCCATTGTCACATCAATTTTTTCATTCATATTGCACAATTTACTTCAGATATCAAATACATCAGAGGAAATTCAAATGTTGTCGCAGATAGTCTATCCAGAACAAACATCGGATCTCTAAATTCATCTTATTCAGATTTTCGAACTTGCTGATACAGAATTGTCAAACTTACTGAATAAACAATTTCCCAATTTTTAAGTCCTTCAAAATCTTATCGTTTGGCACATCCAACATCATCACATTTAATATCAAACCTCTTCATCATGAATTTTATATGATCATAAAGTTATAATGATAATGAATAATGTCAACTTTAATTTTATTATTATATTCGTAATCTTCATAAAATAACCTTTAAACTGACTCCAAACTTGACGCATTTATCTCAAAAAACCAAAAAGTTCGAACTTTCAACTTTTAATTTTGACATATTTGTCAACTTCATAAAAAATCCTTTAAAATGAGTCCAAACTCGACATATTTAACTTTAATATTAATGGAAATACAATCACTTCCGGTTTGAAACGTCAACGTCAATTTTGACATATTTGTCATCTTCATTAAAAAACCTTTAAAATGAGTCCAAAGATGACGCACTTATCTCAAAAAACAAAAAAGTTAGAATAAAAAACATTAAACCCGAAGTTAGCAACAATGAAGATAGCAATTTAATTTTTAAATATTAATACCAACCTTAATTTTTTATTTTTTTTTATTATATTTTTGTTTTTGTGACAAATATTAAGACATTTTATAAAAATTAAGAATATGTCAAAATGACATTGACATTTCAAACCGGAAGTTGCTTATATCTCGAGTAATATTGGAATTAAACGTATCATGTTTGGACTCATTTTAAAGGATTTTTCATGACGATTACAAATATGTCAAAATTGACGTTGACATTCTTAACCGGAAGTTGACCGTAACTTTATTAATATTGCAGGTAAATATGCCGTGTTTGTACTCATTTTAAAGGATTTTTAATGAAGATTACAAATATGTCAAAATTGAGGTTGACATTGTAAACCTGAAGTTAGTTATCATATAATAGAAGTTTTTTAGGTAAAGTTAATCTAGTGTTAGTCATTTTCTTTTTACTTTTTACGTGTTTTTTGGATCATTTCACATTGATTAAAAAAATCGTCAATTTTTGAGCCACATGATGATTCTTGAATTTTTCACAAGTTTCTTAATATTTCTTTTGTTAAAAAAGAGCGTTTTTAAATTTTAACCTGTAAATTTGTAACACTTCGTCCTTAAAATTTCATTTCACAATTTTTTAAACTTTAATTCCGTAAAAAGTTCGAACTTTCAACTTTTAATTTTGTCATATTTATCAACTTCATAAAAAATCCTTTAAAATGAGTCCAAACTCGACATATTTTACTTTAATATTAATGGAAATACAATCACTTCCGGTTTGAAACGTCAACGTCAATTTTGACATATTTGTCATCTTCATTAAAAAACCTTTAAAATGAGTCCAAAGATGACGCACTTATCTCAAAAAACAAAAAAGTTAGAATAAAAAACATTAAACCCGAAGTTAGCAACAATGAAGATAGCAATTTAATTTTTAAATATTAATACCAACCTTAATTTTTTATTTTTTTTTATTATATTTTTGTTTTTGTGACAAATATTAAGACATTTTATAAAAATTAAGAATATGTCAAAATGACATTGACATTTCAAACCGGAAGTTGCTTATATCTCGAGTAATATTGGAATTAAACGTATCATGTTTGGACTCATTTTAAAGGATTTTTCACGACGATTACAAATATGTCAAAATTGATGTTGACATTCTTAACCGGAAGTTGACCATGACTTCATTAATATTGAAGACAAATATGCCGTGTTTGTACTCATTTTAAAGGATTTTTAATGAAGATTACAAATATGTCAAAATTGAGGTTGACATTTTAAACCTGAAGTTAGAACACAACAAAAAGTGATATTAAGATACTTGTTTGTAAAATGGATAAGATAAAAGATGTTAATCTATTTGTAGAGTCTTTGAAGAGGGCCAAGGGGCGAAACTGGTTAGATTTACATTCTATATAAAATAAAAACCAGTTTAAAACCATTTAAATCCCGTTTTTCTCAACATTATTCGTTTGTCGCTTAGTCTAGGGAAAATGCTTGTGCAACCATGCACCTACTAAAGTTATACAGAGTGTCCCACAACGATTGTACAATATTTACATAACCGTATGTGTACATAACTGTAGCGCGCAATTCGTTGAAAATGCATAAGATGACGTTATTATGAGAGGGTTATGTTTATTAGGCTTCTTTTTGTCTATTTTCGATCAGAGAATACGCTGGTGAAGTATTGTGTATTCGTTTTGGGACACCTGTATACCACTGTATAGACTGGAAAATTTCCTATGGATATCTATATGGTCTCGGAGTTTTGTTCATATCATATAAGGAAGTTATAACGACATAAACAAAATTTCAAAAAGTAAATGCAATGGAATCAAAATAAGTAGGGTGTTGTTTACTTTTTGACGCGCACTGTATAGAAACCTTATTATAATAGGAAAAAACCATTTTGTAGAAAAAATCAGATTACTCTTAATCTACATGTAAGTATCTTATTTCTAAATGCCACAAAAATAAACTTTTTAAATAAATAAAATTGATTTCTTAACGTTTATCGACCAGGTATTCTAAATTAAGTTTGAACGATAAGAAGTTCAAAATTAACTTTTCAAGTGTCTTTAAAACGAAGCTCAACTCAATTTGTACAAAGTTAAAATGTGGAAGACATGCGTGCTTGTGTTAACGTTAATTTTTACAATTTGGGTCTTATTTGAATGCATTTTTTATATTCGAAATAACCACCTTTATCATAAAACCCCGAATACCCAAAGAAACCAAGAAATTGATGAAAAATTAAAAATAAATCACCACGTCCCCAAATTTATGCTAGAACTTTACGATCAAATTCAATTAAATCCGAATGTTACCCCGCCGGATATAGTTAGAAGTATCACACCAATTAATCAAGGTAAATTAAGAAAAATTAATTTATTAATTTAATTATTAAATTAATTATTTAGGTTTTAATATATTTGGGGCTCCGAACAAAGAAAATTATCATTTTTTATTGTTTGAAATTCCGAAAAGTGGGGTTGACGAAGTTTTTATAAAAGCAGATTTAAAAATATTAACAATAATAGAAGAAAATGTTATCGACGAATTACACCATTTAATAATAATTTCATCGTACGATGAATTAAAGAGAGATTTAATTCCGATCGAAACAAAAAACATCGTTCATATTAATAACACATGGTTAACGTTTAACATCACCAATCAAGTTAAAAAAATAATCAACAAAAATTTGATTTATCTAAAATTAGTGATATCAGTCCGAGGAAAATTAAAATTGTCTTTATTACCGTTGGAAGAAGGCAACCACGAACATGATTATCCAATATTATTGCTTACTTATACATCAAAAAAGAATATTGTTTTAAATAAAAATAGGATTAAAAGGAACATTGCTGCAGGGGAAATTTTAGAAAAAAAATATAAAAATTCGTGCAAAAAACGATCGTTATACGTAAACTTTTCAGATATTTACTACGACACTTGGATTATTCAACCACGTGGCTACGAAGTATTTATTTATATTAAATTTAATACGACATTTATAAATAAATTTTATTCCAGGCGTTTCAATGTCAAGGAAAATGCTTTTATCCCATCGCCCATCATTTAACACCAACCAAACACGCCGTTATACAATCGTTAATGCACAATTTACATCCGAGGGAAGTTTCAAAAATATGTTGTGTTCCTGTCAAAATGGGGTCGATTTCAATTTTGTACGTTGAGAATGGTATTTTAACTTATAGGTACGCTTATAACGATATGGTCGTTTTAGAATGTGGCTGTAGGTAATTTTCATTTTTTGAAAGCGTTTACATTCACTTTTGTTACTCACTCTGTTTTTGCTCGCTTTAATGTGTACTGTTGGAATCATAAATTAAATAAACCTGTATTTTATGTATAATAAGAACGTTTCTATTATGATACTTATCTTATTTTCATTGTTTTATCTTATCTTGAATAAATTAATTCGCTATGCTTGCGGTGTTTTGAATCAATTTAGTTGTGTGAGGCAAAAATTGCCTTATTGATTGAGGAATGCGAATTGAAATGCTATATTATGTATAACAAAGCTTTGTATCGAGAAGTCTAACTTTTCTAATTAATGAAACACTCCTCGCCTATCCTTAAAACTGAGAAAAATCAGTTTAATTGTCAATGTCAACTTTAATTTTATAATTATATTCGTAATCTTCATAAAATAACATTTAAAGTGAGTCCAAACTTGACGCATTTATTTAATTCCGGTTTGAAACGTCAATTTGAACATATTTATCATCTTCATTAAAAAACCTTTATGAGTCCAAAGATGACGCAATTATCTCAAAAAACAAAAAAGTTAGAATAAAAAAAACATTAAACCCGAAGTTAGCAACAATGAAGATAGCAATTTAATTTTTAAATATTAATACCAACCTTAATTTTTAATTTTTTTTATTATATTTTTGTTCTTGTGACAACAAATATTAAGATATTTTATAAAAATTAAGAATGTCTTTATATTTGAACTCATTTTAAAGGATTTTTCACGACGATTACAAATATGTCAAAATTGACATTGACATTTTAAACCTGAAGTTAGTTATCATATAATAGAAGTTTTATAACTGAAGTTAATCTAGTATTAGTCACTTTTCCGCACAATCTTTTTATTTTTAACGTGTTTTTTTGGGTCATTTGACATTGATTAAAGAAAATCGTCGATTTTTAGGCCACGATTTTTCACGATTTTTTTAAAATAATATAAAAAATTTTATTTATGAGTTTAGAAGTTATTATCTCAACACCGAATTGAGATATTTAAGTATGGTTTGGATCGCGAAAAAGTACGTACTTTCTTCTATAAGGTAGAGGTGTTTCATGAAGATATCTTAAGAATTCGACTTTTCACGATTTTTTTAAAATATAGTAAAAAAATTTTTTTTTCGTAATTAAGATTGAGTTCAAACATTATTATCTCAAGAACGATTTGAGATATTCAAGCGCGGTTTTTTTCATGAAAAAGTATATACTATCTTCTATAAAGTGGAAATGTTTTATAAAGATATCTTAAGAATACGATTTTTTAAAAATAATATAAGCAATTTTTTTTACTACATAATTGAGATTGAGTTCAAACATTATTATCTCAAGAACGAATTGAGGTATTCAAGTACGGTTTAGATCGTGAAAAAGTGCACATATTCTTCTATAAGGTAGAGGTGTTTCATGAAGATATCTTAAGAATTCGATTTTTCACGATTTTTTTAAAATAAAGTAAAAAAAATTTTTTTTCATAATTAAGATTGAGTTCAAACATTATTATCTCAAGAACGATTTGAGATATTCAAGCGCGGTTTTTTTCATGAAAAAGCATATACTATCTTCTATAAAGTGGGAATGTTTTATAAAGATATCTTAAGAATACGATTTTTCACGATTTTTTAAAAATAATGTGAGCAATTTTTTTACTACATAAGTGAGATTAANATCTATAGTCAATACCACCATAAACATCATTTCTTAGGTTCAAGCCAGGAAATCTCAAAATATCAAAATTAACAATCATCTGCGTTAAATTCTGTTATAATTAGAAAATTAAAAGTGAAAGAGCAAAAGTTTCCCATAAAAATTAATGATAATGAATCAAGATAACATAATCTATAGTCAATACCACCATAGAGATCATCATTTCTTGGGTTCAAGTTAGGAAGTCTCAAAATATCAAAATGGACAATCATCTGCCTTAAATTCTGTTATAATTAAAAAATTAAAGGTGATAAAAGTTTCCCATAAAAATTAATGATAATGAATCAAGATAACATAATCTATAGTCAATGCCACCATAGATATCACCATTTCTTAGATACAAGCCAGGAATTCTCAAAATATCAAAATTGATTTGTAAACTATAAAACTATTATTTAAAACTATAAAACTGATTTATTTTGAATATATTAATGTTGAAAATATCAAAATCGAGAATTTTCGAATTATAACCTCTTAGGTTAGGAATTTTTGGGAACACATTACAATATTTTTTTAATAACAAAACTTTTTTCTTTCGATCTTACTTTTTGAGTTACAACCTTAATGTTGAAAACGTCAAAATCATCATGTGGTTTAAAAATCGACGTTTTTTTTAATCAATATGAAATGACCCAAAAAACACGTTAAAAATAAAAAGGAAATACGGAAAAGTGACTAACACTAGATTAATTTCAGTTGTAAAACTTCTATTGTATGATATCTAACTTCAGGTTTAAAATGTCAACCTCAATTTTGACATATTTGTAATCTTCCTTAAAAAACCTTTAAAATGAGTACAAATACGACATATTTATCTTCAATATTAATGAAGTTATCGTCAACTTCCGGTTAAGAATGTCAACGTCAAAACATGATACGTTTAATTCCAATATTATTCGAGATATAAGCAACTTCCTGTTTGAAATGTCAATGTCATTTTGACATATTCTTCATTTTTATAAAATAGTTAATATTTGTCACAAAAACGGAAATATAATAAAAAAAAATAAATAATTGAGGTTGGTATTAATATTTAAAAATTAAATTGCTATCTTCATTGTTGTTAACTTAGGGTTTAATGTTTTTTAGTGTAACTTTTTTGTTTTTTGAGATAAGTGCGTCATCTTTGGACTCATTTTAAAGGTTTTTTAATGAAGATGACAAATATGTCAAAATTGACGTTGACGTTTCAAACCGGAAGTGATTGTATTTCCANTAAGAATATCTCAAGAATTCGATTTATCACGATTTTTTTAAAATAATCTGAAAAAATTGTTTGACTACATAATTGAAATTGAGTTCAATAATTATTATCTCAATAACGAATTGAGATATTGAAGTACGATTTTTTTCATGAAAAAATACATACTATCTTCTAGAAAGTAAAAAATTTTCATTAAGATATCTTAAGAATTCGATTTTCCACGATTTTTTAAAACAATATGAACGATTTTTTTTACTCCATAATTGAGGTTGAGTTCAAAAGTTATTATCTCAAGAACGAATTGCGATATTCAAGTGCGGTTTTGCCGCCCGAAAGAGAACGTACTTTCTTTTATAAAGTGAGAATGTTTCATAAAGATACCTTAAGAATTAGATTTTTCAAGATTTTTTTGAAATAATGCGATAAAATTTTTTAATACACAATTGAGGTTGAGTTCAAAAATTATTATCTCAAGAATGATTTGATATATTCAAATACGGTTTTGTTCACGAAAAAGAACGTACTTTCTTCTAATAAAGAAGGGATGTTTCATAAAGATATCTTAAGAATTCGATTTTTCACGATTTTTTTAAATAAAGTTAAAAATTTTTGTTTCATAATTAAGGTTAAGTTCAAACATTATTATCTCAAGAACGATTTGAGATATTCAAGCGCGGTTTTCTTCATGAAAAAGTATATACTATCTTCTATAAAGTAGGAATGTTTTATAAAGATATCTTAAGAATACGATTTTTCACGATTTTTTAAAAATAATGTAAGCAATTTTTGCGTCAAAAAGTAACAAAATATCTCTAGAATTTTATTTAGAATTGGACTTTTTTAACAAAACAAAAAGAAATATTAAGAAACTTGTTTTTTAATCTATTTGTAGAATCTTTGAAGATGGCCAAGGGCTGAAACTGGTTAGACTTAAATTCTATGTAAAATAAAAACCAGTTTAAAAATATAAATTCAAACTCTAGATTATTTTCATCAAACATTTTTACACGAATCGTTATCATTTTGTCTCTAGTTTTAGTGATTAAATTTATGGAACGACTTACAGAAACACCCTGTATAATTGTAAAGCGGCTTCTGTGCTTATGATAGCTGTCATCAGTGTGCTGTGATAAAAATGGACAGGCACCAAATAATTTTTAATAGTTTGCGCTTGTCTATTCTGAGAAGTCTTATATTTTTAGAGAGATGAAAACGAAAATCCCGTTTTTTTCAACATTATGAAAGTTTTGCAACAAAATTTCAAGGAATTCAAAAATAGCAAAACTTTTTAGTTCATTTTACTAATTTATGTCTCAAAAATCAAGAGTGATAATTTAAAACGGACTCATTCTTTGTTTACTAATTAGTGAAAATTTCGTAACAATTCCACCATCATCAGGGCTATGAAGATATTTTATTTAAAAAAAAAAAATATTTTACTATAATTTTTTTAACCATAACACTTTCTCTCACCCTCCCTAATATTTTCGTGTGGAAGTTTTAAAAGTGGGGGGTAAAGTATTGACTTTACAGGGTAAGGACGACGATGACGTAACGAACGTTAGTAGTTCCCCGCGTTGCGCCTATGACGTCAGAGCGGCCTGTTAAAAACGAAAATGCCGAAATTCGGTCCTAACCTAACTTTATAATAATAAGAGGGATTTTGGAGGTTTTAACGAAGATTTCGGTAGAATACGTAGCAAGTGGCGCAGCACAACCGGGTAAAACGTATTAACGCATGCGTTCCGCGAACGGCCCACATCGAAAGGTGGCCGGAAAATTATCGGGAAAATCGTAACGTGGAAACCGCCGAGAAAACCACATCTTGAAAAATTTTAGTTAGGGTTTTTATAAATTTTGGTCCGGTTTGATTGTGATATCGTAGTGAAAATTACTGTTTCGGCCTTCGTTTTATTAAAACAGTTATTTTGAAAGCTAAACATTTTCTAAATATATCTACCGGTTTAGTGCGTTGCTAATAGAAAACACGTGCAAAATTAGTTTTATACACTTCTTCGTTAACATATACGAAAAATATAGTGTGAAGATGTACGGGTACGATTTTTTAGTGAACGTTACCAAAATGACGGTGAAAATCGCGAAGAACGTTGACGTGGTTGGTGTTGGTAAGTATCCATATGCTTTCAACGTTTATAAATTCTGTTTTATTGTCGAAACCGCAAGATCTCAATTTTAAATTTTAAATAAATATTAACAAGAAATTATGCAACCTTGTTTACGCAAAATGTGTCAATGATGTCATAGCAGTGTTGGAATCATTTCAATCGTTTTATTGATTTTACCTGATGTTATAATACACAATTTACGTGGGAGCATAACGGATGAGTGCTTAAATTATTCAATATGATAGAAGTAATTTGGATTAAACGATCAATAACGTGTAAGTTATATTCTTTTGAAGGTTATAATAACGGTAAAAAATAAATAATTAATTGAAATATGTTGAAAATGCTAAATATTATGAAACTATATCTATCAACATGTAAAATTGGTAGAATTAAACTATAATTGAGTAAAGTGTTAAATTGGTTGCCTATCTAAAAAGGAGGTGAATCTAAAATTTGTATAAAAAAATCAATTTCTCATCGACTATAAGATTTGGGATTAGAATCCAACCCAAATCTTTTCATTAATAGTTAATATCTTAAGAATTACAACTAGAAAATATATTTTATATCCAGAGATAAATGTGATGATTTATAGAGAAGCTGAGATTTCTGTTTCTTCAAAAGAAAGTCCAAAAGAAAAAAAAATTATTATCCTGAGATAATAGGCGAAAAAGCTCAACCTATAGAATCGCCTGAAAAAAAATCGATTCGAAAACGATGTCGTAGACTCCACAAATATCGTCAAAACGTAATTACGTTATCATATTTGTATAATAAACACTATAATAATGTGAACAAATGTACTACAATAATTTTCTTGCATTCCCAGAATCAATTTCTGTACAGGAAAGCTTTCATTAATCAATACTTCTCAGCTAAAGAAAGCGTCACTATTTATTTTTTAAGTATTCTAACTACTGCTTCAGCAGCGATGCTGCTTCAGCAACTAAATATTACATTCTATTGGAAGAAGCTTTACTGTTTGTTTCTAGTATTCTGGGATTGCTTCGGTAATTTTTATTTCTCTAAAAGTTATGAATTAAGGAAAGTTTGGAGAATTAACGAATTTCTATCTATTCAATATAATATAATGTAATCTTAATTTAGCGCAAGTTAAAGGTCATCCTACAAGACGCTGGACGAAGCAGAACCAGAAAGACGCTGTAAAAGCAAACGGTTCATAACTAAAGTTATGTTTATGGCTGCAGTGGCCAGACCACGCTATGACAGTGTTAAAAACTGTATTTGAACGGCAAAATAGAACTCTGGCCTTTTGTTTATAAAGAACATGCAAAAAGAAACAGCAAGAACCGGGTAAGAGGAACAATGGTGACCAAAAACATCGAGTATATTAACGCAGCAAAATGCAAAAAGATGATTATCAATAACGTTGTACCAGCCATTAGATCCAAATTGATGATAATGAATCAAGATAACATAATCTATAGTCAATACCACCATAAAGATCATTTCTTAGGTTCAAGCCAGGAAGTCTCAAAATCTCAAAATTAACAATCATCTGCGTTAAATTCTGTTATAATTAAAAAATTAAAGGTGTTAGAGAAAAACGTTTCCCATAAAAGTTAATGATAATGAATCAAGATAACATAATCTATAGTCAATACCACCATAAAGATCATTTCTTAGGTTCAAGCCAGGAAATCTCAAAATATCAAAATTAACAATCATCTGCGTTAAATTCTGTTATAATTAGAAAATTAAAGGTGTTAGAGAAAAACGTGTCCCATAAAAATTAATGATAATGAATCAAGATAACATAATCTATAGTCAATACCACCATAGAGATCATCATTTCTTGGGTTCAAGTTAGGAAGTCTCAAAATATCAAAATG